TTGAAATCAATAAACTCTTGCGACGCGAACATAGAACATCAGTACGTCAAAGTCACAAGATGTATATTCAGCAGTTTTTTATTATTTTGTATTTCTATTCTATTATTATTCTACCTGTATTTTATGTTGTTATAAGTATTGTTTTATGTGTTATAAGTGTCATTTCCAAAAAACTAGACAAAATCATCAGTACTTCGCCGTAAGTTTCACATTTTATCTTTTATTCATTTCTTTATGTATTTGGATTTACATTTATACATTTTAGTTTTTATTTTGAATAAAATTTATTTTCAGTTGAATATTCATGTCCCAAATGTCAAGTTTGAAGAGTGTAAATTCATTATTAGAAAAAATAAATGATATTGATGAAGAATGTACCGAAAATGATCAGGAAATTTTTGATATTGAAAATGACAGTGCAGAAAAACGTAAAACATGTCAAATTAGATAGTGCAAAGATAATAAAACCAATAATATTGGTCTGCAATGTAAAAAGTATGTATGTGGAAAATGTACAATCGAGAGGCCTATTTGCAAAAAATGTGGTGAAAACGAATAAAGTACATAGTATATACTTCTAAATAAAAGAAACTATATTTTTATATTATTAAATTGGCTATTATTTTCATCCTATATTAAAAAATATAAGTTGTGCTAAAGACCGGTCATTTGACCGGTCGCGGTAGGAATAGGTATACGTGAAGTGTCGGTAGGAATAGTGTTAAATGTTTTAAAAGCATCATACAAGGATCACTTATTTAGCAAGGGTTCACAGTAATCATCACTTTCTCTAGTGCCTAAGACATATACAGCTTTAAAATTAAGTTTAAGAACCTAATCCAAGTTACCTTGAGATGTCGATCGTTGATCTGATACTTCGACTTGCTAGTATATATTTCCGGATAATTCCTTCGAACACAGCACATAACCGCCTCGGCGCAAAGAGCTTGCAGGTCACTGCCGCAAAAACCGACCGTTTTCGACGCCAGATAAGCCAAAAACTTTTGCGGTGGCTTTTGTTTCCAGTTTCTGATGTGTACCTGTCGTTGCGCAGAAAATCGTTGTTTAAACGTATAGATCTTAGAAATGAACCGTTTTTCCACGAACAATGATACCGAAAGTATCTCCTTCCTTGCGCTAAAACACGGCAAAGGGAAATACAACTCCCTGTCAAATCGACCGGGTCTTCTTAAAGCTGGATCTATAGCATCGACTCTATTCGTGGCTCCGATTACTATGATCTCTGAATTGTTCTCCAAGCCGTCCATCAAGGCCAACAGAGTAGAGACAATGCTGGCGTGCACAAAGTCTTGTCGACTAGTTCTTACGGGCGCTAATCCATCGACTTCGTCGAAAAAAATTATACAAGGTTTAGATTGTTGAGCCTGAAAGATCAAGGAGTGCATTTCTCAGCTAACGGTATGATCAAGTATTCGCGAAAAGGTTGAACTTTAAATGATCGCGGGGTTAATATTGATTTATAAAAAATTGACTTGTAAAATATTCATTTTCGTCAAAAATAAATATGACGTTCATGTACACACGTCAAAATGAATGGACCGATATGTGCTAAAAACTTAAAAAGTCTTACTAAAGTCATAACGACCCCGCAATCGTATCTCTACGACAGAAAGTTCGATTTTATTTCCACAACGTATTAACACTAATCCTACCGACATATGTGTACTTAATTTGAATTTAAAAATGAAGTTGAAAAATAAATGAACAAACGGCGAATCATAAATTAGTACACACATTTTGTACTTTATATTGATGAAGATCAATGTTGATTTCAAGAAATGCACTTTGACAAAATGTGTACCTTGTAATAAAAAACTTGTGGAGCGATTTGACTGATTTGGTAGATTTAGTGTTAAAGTGTAAAAGATAAATAATGTATTAAATCGTAAAAATTTGAATGATTAAAAAAGTGAATAGTAACCAAAGTAAAAATTTTCTGAAGTTTTTTTTCACTCTCGCCAACCCATTTGCTCAAGCAGTCAGAACCTTTTCGAGATATAAAGGAAACTTTACGTTCACAATTGCTGCACTCGGTAGCCAAAGCACTGGCCACTAGAGTCTTTCCTGTGCCTATGAAACAATAGTTCGTCAATGGAGAAGTTTGTCTCTTGCAAAATTATGTTTCATTACGAACCATAGAACGCTTTATTTTACCAGGAGGCCCGTAAAACAGCAAGCCCCTAGGCGGTTTTAGGTTGAACTTCGCGTAGACGTCACCGTACATAAGCGGGAACAGGACTGTTTCCTTCACTATCCTGATATGCTTCTCCAATCCTCCGATGCAAGAGAAATCCTTCACGCCGGACATCTTTCACGAAGCTAACATCCACGCTTTTATTTTGCATGCCCGTCAACCGTACTCTCATTTATATTGCACGATTTCACATTTATCCTATGAGTTTCTGACAGTTGAAATTTTTATTTCCGAGCCCCCGTGCTACCAATATACACGTACATCGTTGAAAAATTTCCTGTAGATTTTACTGGAATTTTTGCGTGATGATCTGTTGACAGATTGATTCAAGTCGATTTACGATGTAATTTCATTATTTATGACATTCCGTCGATATGATTTTTTAACGAAACATACGAATCGTCTCTCGATCGCTTTGAAGTTTGAAGCAATGTTCATGTGCTTTTAAACTGACGCATAGTTGAAATTTTTAATAAGTGACTTCAATTTGCTTTTTTTTGCAAAACGAAACAATTTTTATTTCAAACATTGGAACTTTTCACGTGTATTCAAGTGCAACGTGAATTGCGTTTGATTAAAGATAAATGTAGAAGCAGAAGATCGTAACCACTTGCTTTCAGATTTGGGTAGAATTCAAGAAGAGTTGAGGGAAAATGCAGGAAAAATCCATGAAAAGTATAGCCTTTTTACATCTTTTTTACAACGTAGTAAGTAAAATAACAAAAATATGACTTTAAAAACTATTGCAGGTTAAAATTTGTTAAATTTAACAAAATGTATGTATCATTTCTTTATTCTGTTCTAAAAGATTTATTTAAAATTAGTAGCTTTTTATTTTCCATTATTTCTGTTTGCTTTTTACCTTAAAGATTATTTGCTACCTATCTTCACTCCACTATTAAATATTTTAATTAGTTTTATAAAATTAGTGAATACATAAAAATATATACACATAATACTCAGCTATGCTTTCGTTAAATGCATAAAGGAATACCTTAGAAATAATCAAGCACAATACAAATCGCTACATTATGAAATTCAATTTATTATGCTACAATGAATGACAATAAAACGTATTAATTGTATGGTAAAATAAATAAGGCAGTGTATGCTCTTTTGTTTTGTTCTTTGTATCTTCTACACATCTGCTTCATATGCTTAAAACTGTCATCTGTCAAAGATCACATTAATTTAGCAAATTCAATGGATCCTATTGAATTATATAATACAACACGTTCTCTGCAGACAACAGTATTACAATGTTTATTATCTGAGTACTTCAGCAAAGTAATTATAATAATTAGTTCAAACGGCAGTGGTTACGAGAACCTCTCGATTAGTACAATTTACATATTTATCATATAATTACATAGTATTTTTTATAACATTTTTTTCTTTTTTTTTTGTTTGGTAATACAGAGATGATAGCACATCAGAAAAATAGCACCAGAAATTATTCTTGGAGTAATTACATATTTCGGATCTTCACTATAAAGTGGAATGTAAAATCTATTAACAGAAACAGAAAAATCACAATGATTCAATTAATGTTTTACAATACTTATATTATGTGATTTTTCTGTATCATTTATTATTTATTGAGATTTATACTTCGAATTTTTTACTGTTTATATGTGTTTACACAAATTCTTTGGCAAATATAAGCAATATCTGTTTAATGAATATGATATCTTGGATCAATAACATTGCATTATTGAAATTGTGTATATTGTTAGATTAACACAAATCAATTAAAAGAAAAGGTGATTTTAACCTTAATATATAAATTTAACTAAAATATTTATCAACATTTTTGAAAGTAGAAACAACGTTATGGTCCACTTTCAATAGTTCGAATTTATTATACGACACATCTTAAATCATATTATGTGGTGGTAACATTAATCCTAATAATTTTTATTTATCTACCATGCATACAAATACTTATTTACTCTTCGTAATGTGGCACTAAAATTGCACAATATTAATTGTTTTTATTGTGCAAAAAATAATACCTGAGTAAAAGAAAACATTCATCAATTTCATTAAATTTAATTTAACAAAGTAAAATTGACCTAATATTTGAGTTTCATAAAATTCCTTTTCAGTTTATTTAAATATATTCAACGCAATTTTAATCAAAGTTATCTAATTTAAAATTATCAACAAATACTTTCTTTTTTCTCTGTAAACGAGATTTTTTGAAAATCAATTTTATACCACACATATGTATAAATGTATGGTACGAAATATTCTTGATTATTTTATAATTACATATGGAAGCAATTTTACATACAGTATTAAAACACTTACTTTATAATACCACTCAGAGTTTTCAAGAATATTATAGTTAATCAGTAATTAGAACAAAACTTCTTTCTGTGTGCTTGTGCTTTTATTATAAATTAGTTTAACTGCAAATTAATTAATATAATTCTAATATATCATTTTAAAACATCAAACATGTATGAAAACTTTAAACACATAGACTGTTGTGTATTTTCGTTTGTAAAGTTACGTACAAAATTATTTATCTTGAAATTTAGTATTTACATTATTGAAGATCGTGTGATTAGTAAATTACTTTACTAATTCAATCTAAACACAAACTGTACAGCAAAATAAATATTATGTAGTGAGCATTTCTAAAATTCAGTCTTTTCACTCCTATATTCTAACAAATTTTAAATAATGATAGAAAAAGATTCCGCTATAATTTTAAATACAAATTTATACACAAAAGATGAATTCATTCTAATATTGAACCTAATTTTTTGATTTGGAAAGTTTCACTATTATGAATAATAACAATTAGCGAACAATGTTAATGTATCATTATATTGCATTACATATCCTTGCCACTAATGGCACACCATATGTTTTACAAAAGTTCAGAATTATTATTTAGTCCTTATTGTTCCTATTAAATTTAGTACGCTCTCCAATATGTATACCTTATTTATGTACCAATCTAAATAACTGAAACTAAATAAAGAAATTCATTAACATATACTTGTATACATGAATACTATTTTATATGATTGAAGATAACAGGAAGAACCTTATTTGCCGTCTCTAATACATCAGAATTTTCGTCTCGTCTACGTTGTTTGGTAACTACCCTTTCACAGTTATAGTATGGATCACAACCAGTATACACATCTAAAAGTAAATTTATGCTAAATATTTACTAGTATTTATACAGACACAGTTTTGTCCATAAATGTTTAAGATTTCACAGAAGTATTTCATATTTATAATGGATTTTTTAATTATGTCCACTTTTACATTGACGATAGAACAAAACTCTATTCGTAATTATTTTGCTTATAACTTATACCTTTGGTAAAAATAAACTGAAAAGCGTGCGCTGTATTTTAGTAACGCATATCTACCACAAGTAAAATTAATTTAATCACCTAAATATAATTTAACTACTTGCAATTGCGAACTAGTTCTGAATAACATTGCAACAGTATCAATGATTTTTAATTTTTATAAATGTATATAAAAATGATAAATTTGTACTATTTTTGAATAATCTTTATATACATTCATAAAAAGTCATTGTGTTAAATGTTATTCTATATATAGTAAGTATATTATACAAATTTACTTTAGTACCCGACATTTCATTTATACATTTTAAGTAAAGATTATCAATTGAAAATTAACGTAATGGTTCGTGTCAAAATTTAATAAAAACGACTAAAAATAAATTATGTACAAAGCCAAAAATGTTTTATATGTAACATATAACACTGCTTACAAGATTTGGAATGTATATACATATTAATTTCTTTTTGAAATTTGTTTAGAAGTTTTCATTGTTGAACCAATTAACATAAACTGATATAAAAATAAACACAACTGTAATTTTCAATAAAATCAATCAAACAAACCTATATAAAATTATTTTACTGAATTTAAAATTAGACTTTTTGTAATGAGTATTACTTTGCTGATTTTTTGTTAAAATAGGACATGTAATTTTATACATTCGTATTGAAAACCTATACATGAAGATATGTCTACATTCAAAGTATCTTGTATAAAAATTACCTACAGAATTGTAAAAATCCAAAGTAATAACTGGCGCATATTAAGAATTTATGTTATATTATATCTTATAATAATTTATCATGGTACTACCGCACGAATGTACGACATAACAGTATCGAATGTTATGTTATGCGTTGTAAAAAACTATAGTTAAGTACACATTATATTAAATTACCATCATCTTTGTATGACCACTATTCGCAAAACTGTACTATGGTGAAATATTATATCTTTTGTTGAAATGCAAAGTATTATACATTAATAAAAAAGTTCTTTTTACGCAAGTTACTCCATTAAGAAGTAACTTGCATAAAAAGTAAATTCTTTGAAGTTTTATAATAATTAATTTCATTGCATTTTTTTATACAAATATTTTATGAAAAGTTCAACTGAAAATACATAATTATTGAATAAGTACAGAATATATAGTTATTGAATAAAATATTTAAATTTGATATCCAACTTTTTTACTGAGAGAGGTATAATATCAGCCACTAATTATTATTTTAGATAATGTAAGCCAATATGTTATGATAATTTATAATTTCATACTTGAATGCTAAGATAAATAGTTGAAATTTTTTTGTATTTTTTTTAGTTTCATGTATAATACTTTTGTTTCTTTGTAATAAGAACACACAGTTATACTTCACCATTTCTTTGAAAATCGAAATTTTAGTATATCATTATTTCGGTTTTGCCATAAATATGTGCACGATAATAAGAATCACCGTTTTATCATTAACCATGAGCAGCTGTAAGAATTGAAAAGAATAAGAAATAATTTAAATTATTGTGTGACTTAACATGAATTCATCATCTTCGTTCAATGTACGTGTACAAAAGGACTTTGTTATAATTCATTAAACATTGCAGATGAGTTATACTATATCAGTTTGATTCGCAACATCATGAACTTTGTCGTACGTTGTCTTGTATTCCTCAAACCTTTTCACCTCCTTGAGCAAATCCTATACATATCATAAATTATATTAAAAATTATACTCTACATTCTATTCCACTTCAGTTTAAGAATGAACAATAATAGTAAACTTAAAAACAAAGTAATTTAAAAAATATAGTACGCGGTTGCCAATATCTGCATATAGAAGAATAAACTAAATATAATGTAGTTTCGCTATGTAACCCTCATTTATGTATGCCCAAACTAATTGAGTGAATTTCTCACCACATAGATAATCGCGGAAATTTAGAAATTCAGAAAATAAAAAATGATCAAATTCACAAAATACTTAAGTAATTTAGAAATATAAAAATTTTGAAATCTGAAATTTAGAAGACCGTAAATTTTCAAATTAAAAAATTTGTCAAATTAGGAAATTTATTGGGTTCAGAGTCATGTAGCTAAACTCCACTGTATGTCAAAAATTTAATTAAAAAAAATATATTTACCTTTGGCAGTGATTTTCTATCATAACTCTGAGCATATTTCCCTACACACCGACTCAGTTGCACATAAATGTCACATAATACTTCGACTGGATAATCTTGTGTACTGTCAACAGTATATTGCCATGCGCTTTCCATTTCATTTTTGTCCACCAGAAGTTTGTCATCTTCGTCGAATCTGGTAGGACAAGAATCGCTTTCGATAGCAAACGACAATTCATCCATACTTTCTCGTCTGGATGAAGAATTAGATCCGCTATTTTCTATGGTCTTATCTTCATCCATAAAACATATCTCCACATTTTCAATTTCATCAATGCGTTGATCGGAAACATTATTGTTTGGAGTTGCTTGTGCATACTTCGAATGCTCAGTTTGTGAATCATTATCAGAATCTGAATTATCAAACAGACGTATATGACCATTTAAAACACTATTTGCTTCGGTTTCGAATTCTTGGAATTTCTCTAAATCGATGCTAGTAGTTTCATTGGTTAAGCAGACCTTGCTAGTGATCGTACTTGCATTTTCATCGAATGCGATCTTTTTCTTTTTATGTACTTTTTTAACGTAGCCCCTTGCCCAAGCTGGTATTCTACGTTTCCTAGGATTGGAATACCTCTTTCCATTTACAACAAGAGGATGACTAGAACTCGCAATATCCTTTTTCTCTATTCTTTCAGATGCAGATACAAGTTCCGCTTTTGGTCGACTTTTGTTTTCCGTGTCATTGTTAACAGAACTTTCAATAACCCTACGATTTTTCGAAATTTCACGACACTTATCTTCAAAATCGGAATCTAATTCTGCTTTTATTAACGCATACGCATTATCACGAAGGGAACATGCACGATGCCTTATTAATTTGTCTGCCGGGTCCCTGTGAAAGAATACAAGATGATATATATAAAGATTATAAATAAATATATCACTAGTGAGAAGCAACATAAACTAATATGAGTAGCCTTCAACAATGAATGATATTTATAATATATATGTATAGTTATTTAAGTATACGTGAAAAAATTGAAGGCCACTTTCACTACGGAGCAACAACAGCAACGGATAAACAGGAATGTCTGAACTACCTCTTTAATATTCCAAGGGAGGGCCTATCACGTAAGCTGACATGAAAACATACAATATGAATGTCAGTATAAACTTTAGCTCCATTACTTATATTTATGTATGTTATATGTGCGATATCGATATAAATAAATAAAAAAAAAATAACATATAATATACACATGTATTGTAATACATCTTTATAATTATAATGGAAACAGAATATAACAAATTCCCTACATGTTTGCACGTAAACAATGTTGTTTGTGTACAGTGCAGTCTCGCAATATAATACTTTCGTATGACTCGTTAAGGGAGTTACATTTTATGCGGACAATTAAGCATATTTACACATGTTCCCACCATCAAAGCAGATAAAAAAACCGCAGATGACATTAAACTTTTCAAGCACCATGTTATACTCTTCCTAATCAACAGATGTAATTGCAAATTCTCAGTTGAATGTAAATTTTCAAATTTATGTAGTATGAAATTTTCAAACCTTCAAATTTAGAGATTGAAAAATTCATAATTTTTTATATTTTTAAATCGAATAATTTAGAAATTCTCGAATTCTAAAATTTCCAAACTTTTAAATATGCATATTTGCAAATTTCCAAATTTCGAAAATCCCCTCATAACTAAATTTTTCAAATTTTTAAATGTTCAAGCCGAGATTAAATTTACTAATTTAAAAATTTCTAAATCATTAAATTTCAGAATTACAAATTTCTAACTTTATGAATTTTTAAACCTTCAATTTGAGAAATTCAGAAATTTTTAACATTTCAAATTAAATCATTATTTCATAATTTTTAAATCTAGAATTTGTAAACAATATAGTTAGAAGTATACTTGTCGATTGAATACTACACGGAAGTTCTGTTTATATGGCTCATCCCAAAATTGTTTCCAGTGTTACGAATTCGTATATAACTCATATAACGAGACTCCTCTGTATACTGTTTTATGATATCAAATTGCCAACATAAAAACCAATAAATATAATAGCAATAAATGTTGGATTTTTAACATACTAACCTATCTGGATTGTATTCCAAAGCATTTTTACATATTAGGTCGATATCATCAAGAAAATCTCGAGCACAGAGATAACAATGCATATCAATCTTCGTCATCATTGTTTCTAAATCCATTGGTTGTTTTATTATCATATTATAATCGGGTACTTCTTCCGTGTCTACAGGCTTTGTAAACATAAAAAATCTGTAATACAGAAATTAATTATTGATGAAATACGATTAATAATTTAAAATGGTAATAAATAATATATAGATATATTTACTGTCTATTTCTTGCAAGTTTTGCACAAATTTCTCTCAAGAAAATTCTTAATTCTCTTAGCGACACTTCCTCTTTTTCGTATATCACTTTCTTTTCCTCTTCTGTTAATTTCTTTGGTAAAGGATCTGGTGCTAGAGGAAGTTCTTCCAAAACTTCTATCTTGTCGTCTTTTACCTTCGGTGGCTTCAAACTCTGAATCATAAAAATAGGTCGGAAGAATTTCGATCTTTGTTCTGCTGTTGGTGTTTTCATAGAATAAACTTCTCCGCGTAATTCACTGAAGAGGCCTCGTAACTGAATCGGAAGATCTTGATATGTTCTATCACTTGTGGCTAAAATTAAGATGGGTAATGAAGGATCAAGCGCTGCGATACGACACAAGAAAACTGCTTTTACAGTTTCAGGTACAAGTGGCCACCACTGATCGATCGATCGAATATAAATTATGGACGGTACATTTCTGGCAGCTTCATTAAATACCTATATTTAAGAAATAATAAAACATTCTTTATATTATAATATATTTGCTTAAAAAGGGATTCTACATTGTGAAACATAAAGAAAGACAAAAATACTATAAAACAACCTATTAAACTTGAAATTAGTCTATCAAACAGTTTATATACAAGGTAGAATTCCCCTGAACATTTCATTTTCTCTTTTAGTATGGCAATTAACAAACCTGCACACAGGTTTCTTCTGGAGATCGTCCACTTTCTGCAAAAAGAATGCTAACGTCTAATGTTTGAACTGGTAAGTGTTCCATGTGGTATAATAATGCTTGTGCTAAATGTGGCCCTTGACCTTCCGACAAATTTCCGCCAGAAATTAATAGCCTTGGGCGATGAATTCCTTTAGTAGCTTTCACTCTGAAATATTTAATACAATATATAAAATAATAAATGATGATTGCATGATTAGTATTAACTTGAATGTTATATCACAGAGATTCCCAAAGTATAGGGCCATTAATGGATCGCATAAAATATTAAAATATAAAATATGATGAAGTAGTAAAATTATATCTTTTATTTAATTTTTCCTCTCATTTAAAATGTGCATTAGAAACAAGTAGATTTCGAAAAATGATCATTTTCAAAAATAGATTTAAGGTCATACAATTTTCGGAAACTGTGCTATATCATATATAACTGTAAACTTTCATTACTTTGCCATAGCAGGATTAACTCCTTGAGGAAATATTCCTTTTATAGAACAAAGTAATTCTTCTAGCAGAGGCCCTAATAAAGGCTCTATAAAAGGTTGTAATTTTCTTCGAGCACAAGGTGAGACTCTTTGTGAAGATGGTACAAGAATAGAACTGGCTTGTAAAAAATCTCGCTTTTTAACCTGTAAAAGTTTATATAACTGTGCATAATGTTCATCAATTATCTCATACTTTGTATTAATAAACACATACTTCAACTCGTTCAGGATCTAAAAGTAACCTATTGCTAGTCATGTATATTTGGGGATACGTTCTTCTCAATCCTTGCAAAACTGCTTCAGTACATAAAGCTCTCAAATCTGAACCGCAATAACCGGTTGCTTTCTCAGCTAATGTTTCTAACAATTGATCTGATGGGGGGTTTTTCCATTTACTAACATGAATTTTTAATATTTCTAATCTTTCTTTCTTAGAAGGTAAGGGAAAAAATAATTCTCGATCGAAACGACCGGGTCTGCGTAATGCTGGATCAATAGCATCTATTCTGTTTGTCGCTCCAATAACAATAACCTGTTAAGGAAAAAAAGTTACAAGATACTCGCACATACATATATATATAAAGTAAACAAAATATTCAGAAATATTTTACCTCTCCCCTATCGCTGAGGCCATCCATAAGAGCTAAAAGAGTAGACACAATGCTAGCATGAATTTGATCCTGTTTCGTACTTCTAACAGGTGCAAGGCCATCAATTTCATCAAAAAATATTATGGACGGTTTCATTAGTTGAGCCTGCTCAAACAATAATCGCAACTGGCGCTCTGATTCTCCGACCCATTTAGATAGACAATCTGCGCCTTTTCTCATAAAGAATGACATTTTCCTACTGCCCTGACTACATTCATTTGCTAATGCTCTGGCTATTAACGTTTTACCAGTTCCTAAATAAATAGTGGATATAAATAGAAATCATGAAAATGCACATCTCCATATGTCTGTTTATATTAAACAAAATAATACCTGGTGGACCATGAAAGAGTACGCCTTTTGGTGGGGTAATATGAAAACGTTCAAATACATCTGGATACATCATAGGAAAAACAACCATTTCTTTAAGGCAGTGAATATGTGATTCTAAGCCTCCGACATCATTGAATCTAATATTAGTATCTAAAGTAATTGGATTTATATCTGCTTTACGATCAGGCGGTCCACCCTGAGGTATTGCTGATTGCCTGTTATAAAATTAATAGTGTAGTAAATTAAAATAATATATTTGAAAGCTGATTATTTAAATATTATACTTATACTTTAAAATAATATTTGTCTAGAGTATTTTACTATTTAGTTATGAAATGAAGTAATTTTTCTGTAATCTTTTTATATTAACATTGTTAGTTGTTTTAAAAATACCAATTTTTGAAAATATTATTACTGTAATTTTGTTTAAATAAAATGACAAGTAATCTTATCATAGTCTATTATGTCAGATTGTTTGTTATTTTATTTAAATAATCTAACCAACTGAAATAAAGAATTATATAAAAATTATTTAAGTTTCAAATAAAATAAAATTATTTTTTTATGTTATTCATGAAATATAATGTGCCCCTAATAACTTTAAATTCAATAAAATTTTTCACCAGCTTGTTGAAATATTACCTCGCTTTTTTGCTTTTCTTCTTATCATAACGCTGAGGTTCCGAATCACTGGAATCACTAGAGCTTGTACTTTTACTTCTATGTTTACGTCTTCTCATTGAATTACTAAGAACACTTCTAAGTGCTTTTATAGATCGTCTAACTGGTTCTACGTTAGCTTGAAATCTATCTACAGTAGGTTTTTTTTGACGTAAACTGTATTTTCTAGGACCAGGAGAATCAGAAGATTCACTTAAATCACTATCTACCACTGTAAAAATAATAAGATAATCATAGTATAGTTAAAAATAAGATTTTTGATTCAGCATATATATTAGGTATGTTATTAAATATGAAACATCGAACCTGCAAGTTTCTTACCCCTTGGTAATTGGCGCTGTGCTTTCCTTCTAGTTCGTTTAATACGTGTATACATATCCTCATAACCCTACAAATTGGTAATATTATTGTTATTTTATCCATAGTTTCAATTATATTTACACATTTGAATCTTATTTTATGACTCCATCGTTTCAATTAAAAGCAAAGACCAACATTATGTGGTATTACAGATTATTAAGTATTACTGAAAAGAAAAAAAAAAAACAAACTATTTGTTCATGTTTAAAAATTGTAAAAAACCATTTACATCTTCATTTTCATAATTATCGTTATTTTCTGCTTTTTCACTTTCTGGTAAGCTATCTTCATCTGCTTCATCTTGTTCTACTTTAGGTTTCATATCTTTTTCACTTAAACTGCCACCAAGTCTTGTAACAGGGCCGTCCTTAAGTCTACTTGGACTATCAGATTTCCGTGCTCTGCAGATAAATTTTTCATAAATACATCTAATCATATTTTAAATTTATAAATTATATCAATAATATTTACCTTATATCTTTCTCTTCATTTGATTTACTTCTGGTTTCTATTTTATCTTTATGTTCTGTTTCTGTTCTGTCCCTTTCTCTATCTTGTCTGTCTTTAAGATGTCTAATATCTTTTTCTTGTTCTGTTTTTTCTCTAATATCTCGATCACCTCTACCTCTAAGTTCTCTATTACTTTGTCGATCATGTTCAGTCCTTTCCCTAATATGTCTTGTTGAATTTTTATTAGGAGGATGATTTTCACGTGATCTAAGGGGCATACGGTCTCGAAGATCACGTTTTCTTTCAGGTACTTCATCCACCATCTCTTTATCAGATGAAGAACCATGTTGTTGAAACATAGGATAACCTTTCAGAGTTTGTGTTCCTAAAACACATTACAAATAGTTTAAAAAATAAACATTATTTAACAACTGTTATCGTAATTTTACAAGAGAAGTAGTAGTTAAAAGTATTATGTAACATTGAACAGCTGACATGAGTTATAGATTAGTGATAATCTACAATAATATAGAATGATATATTAATTATGTATTATTAATATATTAATTATTTGGTCTATGCACACCAAATATTATTTATAATATAGTTTAATAGTACTTTTACCTAAAATCCAGCTAGTATTAAGATTATCATACGTTTGCATTCTATTACGTGTACTACGACGTACACTTAAATTATTCACAGATATATGAGAAGTAGAATTTGATCGTAAAGTACGTAAATTTTTAACTCTTCTAACATTGGAGCCAAGGCTGCGAATCCTTGGAGTAAAAATATCTTCTTCTGTATCCATTGAATCCAATGCAGCATCATCGTCTGACATTATCTATAATGTATTCATCAACGATATTGTTGTTAACTTTTAAATGATTTAATTTTATTATATTTTACTAATTTTATGATGCACACATGACACCAAATCATAGTACATCATATTATAAGTTAGATGTATAATACCAATTTTTACATACAAATTAAGGAAGAAATTATGCAGAAGTAATTAAAACCAAAATATAATATCATGTAATCTTAAGTACTAAAAATATACAAATAAAACTTATAATACTTTTCCATAATTTTCCTATTTTACTACAAATTCCTTTGTATTAATAAAATAGAAAAAAAAATTAAATAAGTATGTAAAAAATGTTGACAGTTAACATGTGTTTTTTCTAATTTTACTTTTTTGTAGAATGGAACACTACCCACGTAAGTACCTTTTCGAAAAATCATAATACATGAGAACATATGTAAAGTATATTATTAAGAAATGACAACAAAATTGATAATTAAACATACAGAACGTAAAAACATGAAAATTAAAATAAGCACTGATTATAATAATAAACAAAGCACCATGGAAGCAATTATAAGTTCTTCTTAAAACACACAAATATTAAAGACCACAAACCATTTGGCATTTGAACGTATCGAAACATAAAATATCTAATACCTTACTGCATAAATTACCTTCATCTGACTAATTCTTGTTGCGAATTAGTACTTGAATTAAAAAAGAAATTACTAACGTCCGTCATATGCCTCAGGTAAAATAACACCACTTTCTCGATCGAGTACACCTAGCGCATGCACACTAGACCTACCGAAAGATCGTTTTATAATCAACTAACACTTAAAAACTATTCTACACTAAAATAAGGAATATACAGATTAGCATAATACATGTCACAACCAATAACTTTGTTATTGCAATAGACAATTTTTTTAAAGGCAATGGTTACAAAAATCATATTACAAACTATCTCTACATGTATAAGAACTCATACTGAAATTGGCTGTAAATGTACTTGCACACCCAACCTAACCCATTCGCCAATTGTGACCATCATTAAAAATATATAACATCAGAATATGAAACTAACCCTTTTCGAAATAATAATGTACATATATATATATATATAATTATTATTCGTTCAGTGAGTATTCATACTCATTTCGCGCAACGCAACTAACTTCAGTAGCCTCCCCACCATTTAATGTTATTCCATTACCTTTTAATTGCTACATCGTCTGTTATATACACGGTGTACAAAATATACCAATAAGAAAAAAAACAACAATGTAGTGGTGCATATGTTACGGTGAAAGACCGAAATTGGTGAATGTCGACATTCACCGGTGAATGTCCGAAATAAGAGTAGTTAGCATACATATTTCGGCATACATATTTCGGACATTCACCGGTGAATGTCAACATTCACCAGATTTCGGTCTTTCACCGTAACACATATAAAGCATGCACATTGTATATTTCTATTCAAGGTAACATCTTTTAATATATTTTCGACAAATATTTTAGCAATATTGCAAACTTCAACAATTAGAATTGGAGCATTAGAACTTATAACAATTTTTTAGCACTTTGAAAAAGTTGGTATAACCGTCATTTCAAGAATTACGATGATTTCAACATGCAGAAAAATATATATTTTAAAAAATAATTTTTACATTAAAAAATATTTTTTTATTCTGTTTCTTCTTAAGAATGAAATTTTTCAAAATTAAGGTATGTAAATGAGATTTTTTCAACTAGTATCTATTAGTGTAAAAACTGTATTTTTATACGATGAAGTGGAGGATATTTCGCATTTTAAACTCATTGTCAGTTACATCTACCTCGTCCAGCGCAATCCAGCGTCAGTACGCGCTCTATTCAAGCTAGAGCTCAATGATAACCTAGGCCAGATGTATGGAGTATGCAAGATTCTTGCTCACTGAGTATACACGTTTGGCGTCACGGATGCTGTAAATGTACTTGCGCGTTACTCTTGGTTACGAAGTATGTTTGAACCAATCAAAGTTGACATGCGCAGAATTAACAAAATCTCGTTGGATGATGAGTACGATTTTTCGTTGCACAAATGATAGAGACGGTAAACGACTATGGTATCTGATTAACAATATGTATTATATATATATACATATATATATATATATATATATATAATTCTGTTAAGTAAGAGAAGAACCAACTAGGCGGCGTTTTGAGTGCAGTGCATCTAAAAAAGTTCCTAATCACGATGTCTTTCTGCAGCCTGTTTCTATCTCCATATACATGGCGAGGAAAAATGAGGGAGTAGCAAGAATGAATGATGATGCGTTAAATATACAAGATTAAAGCAATATTACACTCAATTTTGTTAATATATTTATAGAATGCAATGATACATTAATAATATAATTCATATAAAATTAAAATTTTCCATTCAAATTGTAAGCTCTTTCCAGTTATAAGTTTCAGGTGTATGTATTTTGTTAATCGAAATTGCATTCGCACATTTAGAGGATGACGTATACTTGGTCAATTATTACTCGTAAAATTTATAAATGTCATTTAACTTTTATTTAAAGACTGTTGAACACTGAAAAAATATTTTTCACATAATGAACGAAATTTATTGGGTTCAACTAGCATTCAACATTATGAAGCTTTTTGTCCGCTCGGTATATATACTTTCGATATCGTAATTATTTTAATTATGCTTACGCACTACCATAGATTATAGATAGTACAGAACTAAACCCAGTTACATGTACAAAAAAAACGGAAACTTGTCGTCTAGTTAGTTTCTTTTCTGGTGAAACAGAATTTGGCGTCATGATTTTTAGAGTCTACAAATTCACTAGTCTTTTGTTGAAGTTATACCATGTTCTGAAGACTGCATTAGAGTATAGAAATTCACTAGATCGAGCGGTGTGAAGTTTGTCGAAAGTTCTCTATCTGTTTACTGTGTTTTTGGTTAGGAGAGACAAGGACGGTAAATAGGATGCTGCGACAAAACACGCATTCTTCGGACCAAAACGCCTCTGCGAAGAAGTAATATTTCGACATGATTTCTTTTGCATACTATTCCCAGAAGTTTAATCTAGGTCGGTACGGAGGTCGATTTTGCAATTTTGCCCAAAACAATTTTATGAACTGAAAACTAACATTTCTTATAGAAAAAAATTTTTCACGTCCCACTTTTCCAAAATCGGCCTCCGTACCGACCTAGATCAAACTTCTCAGAGTAGTATGCAAAAGAAATCATGTCAAAATATTAATTCTTCGCAGAGGCGTTTTGGTCCGAAGAATGCGTGTTTTGTCGCAGCATCCTATTTACCGTCCTTGTCTCTCCTAACCAAAAACACAGTAAACAGATAGAGAACTTTCGACAAACTTCACACCGCTCGATCTAGTGAATTTCTATACTCTAATGCAGTCTTCAGAACATGGTATAACTTCAACAAAAGAAATATATCATGTTTAATCCTATACAGTGTATATATGATTGTATCTTATAAGAAAATTGAATTTTCGTATAATTTGTAAATATCAGGTTTAAAATACAGTTTATATCTCATGTATGATAAATATACTGTTATTAGTTATATTGCAGGTTAGCAAGATTTCTACCAAGTACTGTAGAAATAAAAAGTATTTAAATGTTTCGCAGCATAAAATACATTGTTTTAAATAATTTCATACCGTTCCGTCGTATAAAATTTCCACTGGGTAAGTTATTTTAATACATAGGTGTAATAAAAAGTAAGCAAACGTGAACACAGATAAGACATAACTATTTGAAGTTATTAGATTAAATACAATATAATATTTATATTTAGTATGCAGTAAAGTTTAATACTATTATAATATATATACGTTCTTATAAAATATGATTTGAAAGTTTACATATTTATGCTATAAGAGTATAAATTATAATAAATATATCAGCAAGCAATTAAATGTAAAATAATTGTTTATTACATATATTATTATTAATAATAATCTATTTATTATTTTTTTAAGTATACCAATTTGGTTTTAGATAATATTTATAATAAAAATATGTCCATCAAACTTAATACAAGTGAGCAAGATGTATGTAAGTCTCATCAGTCGATTAAAAGGCAGATAACTGAGGAAAATAATGAAGTTGCAACAAAAGCTCAAAAGGTAGAAGCAACTGAAGATGCAATGCAAAAAGTTAAAAGGAAAAATTTTGTAATAATGATGGGTTATCTTGGCGGAAATTACTTTGGAATGCAAATAAATCGTGGTACAAAAACTATAGAAGAAAGTTTACTGACTGCTTTGTTGGAAGCTAATTATATTACAAAAGACCAATTTGAAGATATAAGAGAAATAAGATTTCAAAGAGCTGCACGTACAGATAAAGGTGTTTCAGCAGTTAGACAAATTGTTTCTCTAAAATTACGTAAGTTGTATATTAAGTTCTTGGTTTAAATTATAACTCAGTTGTGATGATTTTGTCTTGATAATCATGCAAGAAAAGTAATTTGGTCAATGATAAAGTAAAGTTCCATAATATTATTTTCTGAACTATTGAAACTGTGAAAAAATATTTGATGTAAAAGTTGTTTTATTTAACGGAGAAAACTTAATATTATGTCTCAATTTTTTTTTTTAACCATATATTTTCTGTTTTGTCCATTTATTATGTATTTCAAGACAAATTCAGCAATGTGTGTAATGAGCACATTTGAATAATAATTTATCTGGTGTCTGTACAGCAAAACATACCAAATTTGGTTGATGTTCTTTATTGATAATGCGTGGCCTATGAGACACGAAACTGCTAAATTGAAACAACTAGATACAAGCTTATAATTGATCAGCAAAAATAATTACATTACTATTAACATCTCTAAATGATAATTAAGAAAGGAGAATCATTCCATGAATTTTGCATTGTCAAATTAAACAACTTTTGTAAAAAACATTTTGTCACATTTTCAATAATTATACCACAGAAGTGAAAGTCCTCTAGACTCTAGATCTCTATATTTTTCAATTCTTATATCCCACCATTAAATGTATGGTCTATATGATTTATGTCTGTATACAGCTAGATTCTTTATATGTGTATTTATCATACTCAGCTTCACCATACACTTCAGATAATTTAATATCGTTTAAAAAATTTAAATCTAAATTTAAAAGTATTTAAATATTTTAATAAATATCTAATATTGTATATTTTTAAAAATTATTGTTTATAGCGCATAATGTAAATAAAGAAGATATAAATAAACATCTTCCAAAAGATATTAGAGTATTTGGTGTAAAAAGAGTGACAAAAGGATTTAATAGCAAAAATCAATGTGATGCTAGAACATATAGATATGTTCTTCCTACATTTGCTTTGGCTCCAGAACATCCAGATTTTTTACAATTGGGAGACGAAGAAGAAGTAGATGAAGATACACGACGTAAACAGCTTTCTACGATAAATGGAGAGCCATATAATCGATTTCGATTAAGTACAAAAATGCTTAATGATTTAAATGAAACTCTAAAATTATTAGAAGGCACACATAATTTTCATAATTTTACGTCAAGAACGTATGTTATTTTACATATTAATAAGACATTACATAACTAAAAAATATTTGACTTTGTTTATTTTTTTTTATTTTTACAGAAAAGCACTTGATCCACGGAATCGGCGCTATATAATATATTTTCGTTGCATTGAAACATTTATTGTGAACGATATGGAATTTGCAGTTTTAGAAGTTAAGGGACAAAGTTTTATGTTACATCAAATCAGAAAAATGGTGACTTTAGTAATAGGAATTTCTAGAAATATCCTCAAAAATGATTTTCTTAAAGAAGCATTTTCAAAGGAAAAATATAGTATACCAACTGCACCAGGTTTAGGATTAAGTTTGCATTTTGTAAGATATTCTAATTTTTTATATTAATCTTAAAAATTATATTAAATTTGTTATATTCAGTGAACTTTTTAATATTTTAGGTGCATTATAAATATTATGATGAAAGATACGGAAAAGACGGTATTCATGAAACGCTAGATTGGAATGAGTGTGATGAAGAAGTAGAAAAATTTTATAGGGAACATATTTTGAAAAGTATAATAGATACAGAAATAACAGAAAATGTGTATCCTTTTTTATACAATACTTTATAGTTATTTGCTCATGGAATATTTTAATTTAAATGTTAACCTTAATTGTTTTAATTTAGTATGTTCAATTGGCTTGCATCTTTTTATACACCAAAGAGAATTGGAATGAAAGAAGTTGCAGCCACCTGTGAATATATTCTATGAAACATATTACTGTATCAATCCATGTAAATGATATTAAATGTATTTGACTTTTCCATAAATATTTTTTAAATTGTTGCACTGTTATATGTATAGAAAAAAATGTTAAACACTCAATTTTTATTAAGAATGGACAGGAGGTTCATTGGGCGCTTGCGCGAAAGCCGTTATGTGCCGTCGAGTGACGACAGGCGGTAGTAGGAGTGAACCGCTACATTTTCGAATTTAATTAATATTGATTTTTTTAATTTGATAGACGATCGTATGCATCATAACATCATATGTATCATATGCATCAAATTGTATTTGAAAACTAATTTTATTAATACTTATCTTCTACCGTTAACTGATTAAGCATTCTGTGGTAAATAAAATGCAGTTTAACAGATTTTAAAATGCAATTTAACAAAACGTTTTATTTTACAAAAAAGAATGGATTTTTAGTTAAAATCCACGTTTAGCCGATAGATGACGCTAGTGGTGCAGTTTCCAGATAGCACACGCAAAAGTATAAAATTTAAAATACATGTAAGACTAAAATGCTTTCAACTTTTCAAATTACTTAGTTTAGAATAAGCTATTGTCTTTTATATGTCTTTTGCATCTTGAATTGTCGCTGCTTTTTCGTTATAATTATAAACATCAATATAAAATTCAGTTGTTGGTTGGTTGTTCAACAATACTGAACAAGTTTTTCCTGTACCAATTTTCGAATTATTAATGAAAAACACTGACCAATAAAAGCACACAGTGTGCGGGTTCAATCACGAGAGTGTTGGCTATACGTCGATGTTAACCGTAGTCATGATTAAACAAATTAGTGCCACATCGGTAATATAGTACACATCAGCTAGTATGTATAGTTACAAAATTCGGCACTATTAATAAGCATAAATCTACCGATGATACAAATTTTTTAAGTCAACGTAAAATAAAAGTCAATAGTTTTATATTTTATTTGTTCTACGACAACCAATATCGGCGTATAACTAACACTCCAGTGGCTGAGCTTGTGCGCTTTTACTTATCGGTGTTTTTTATTAATAATTCAAAAACTAAGCCTTAACGAACATCTTGATGAAGAAAAAGTTTTTTCAATATCGCTCCAGGCACCCTGTATTTGATGAAGTCACTTGTTTGCGTTTGCATTGATTCCTCGTGTAATGGCAGACATTAAATTATCTTGTTCAAACCTGCGTATATGAAAAAATCACGTGTAATGGACAGTAACTTACTAATTTACTAAAAGCGCACTATTACTAAGTAGAATACTAACTTTCATAAAATTACTTTCACACAATTATCTTAATTTTGCTAATTTTGTTGATTCTTACATATCATATGGTATCAAAGTAATACAAAACTTATACGAACTGTGAAGGCGTCACGTTACTATCTATTTCAGTGGAAGTTATTGTTAAATAATAATATGTTCGATGATATAGGGAGCACAACTAAACTTTACGTCGCCTCAAATGAGAACTTAGTATATTGAAAACCACGCGCGTAAAGTTCGGAGGGAACCACGCACTGCCAATAGTTTAAAGTTTAAAGTTTAAAATATATGATTAATGAGTGTAATGGACAAAATCAAAAGATAATAGCAAGGTTTATACGTAGTAACGAAGAAAGAGGAACAAATTTTAATAACAGTGATGATAATATATGAAGGAAGAAAAGGAATGTTAGAACATTTCAAAGAAGGATGCAAACAGTGTGATGAATACTAAGAGAGGGAGAAAACAGCGAAATGAGAATAGCGGAAAAAGGAAAAAGGACAAAAAAACATGAATGAAATGTGTAAATTAAATTATACGAGATGTATAACGTATGTATAACAAGGAAAAAATATCAGTGCATATGTATTTATTCACTTTTAAGGCAGAAGGTGTATAAAATATATTTATAATAAATTTTATGCTACAAATACTCTTTTATTTTTTAATTTCTTATTCTATTACATTTACAAATAAATAAACTAATAGATTTTTTCCATTCCAAAAATTTCTTTTTTATTTATACGTTTATTTATTTCAAATACAAATATACATATATGTATATTATGTTTACAAATTATAAATTTATAAACTTATATATATAAAAAGCACAAAAACTTACATAATTACCCTCTCGAAGTATATGTCTTAAAGTAACTGCTTTCTTAATTTCAACGTATACTCGTGTATATATGTACTGTAACATAAAATATCGCTAACAAAAATTAAAATTAATAATTAAAAGGTCTCATTTAAATAGTATTTAAATTATAAGAGATATTCATACAAAACATAATTGTCAATGATAATGAAACAATAATAAACATTCGGTGTTTATGACCGTGACTAAAAATAAAAAAAATAGTTGTTACTATTGACTGCTACTATCAATGACTTATTTCGCAGCGCTGTTGTTAGTGGTCATCTGCTGAAGAACATACTTTTCAATAACAATATTATTTTTATCGCGGGAATTTCCAAATCGGTATAGACTATAGACTATAGACGACCACGATATACACTAACCCACCATATCTGACTTTCTGTCATAGACATATTACACCTACATCACGTATTCAGCAAAACAGTCGAACGGTAGGAAGATAGTATACTTTGGTTCGTCATTCATGTTCGTCGGACAATTTTCAATATTAGGATTTACGTCCATTTCCTTATTTCGTACGCAATGTAACGGTCCCTTCTTTTTCTTTACTATACATTGGTCGAAAAAAACATGACAATGAACGTATAGAAATTTTTCTCTTCTAATTTTTAATCCAGTTTGATTATTCCAGACAAAAAGTAAGGAAATACTTTGTTCTAAATATAATATGCCTATACCTTGTGTAGACTTAACCTAACCCTACCCTAATCTTATATCGACCTAACTTAACCCTGACATCTCGTTATAATACAAACACATTTTATTTTTATTCTGTTGTTTATGTTCAACTAATCTAATGCTAATTGAATTAAGTTTTAAAAAAATTTCTGTATTTCATTTTTAACAGAAAACTTTCTTCTCATTCTTTCCTGTATGTAATAAACAGTGTATTGGTTGTTCATCCGTTACTTTGCGTATATTTTCCTTGTAAAATACACACATACACTACGCCAATCCAATGAGGATAGATATTGAGTCAACGTTGCTTGACCGGGCAATACCAGATTGGTACAGCAACAGCAAACGATTCATCATATGAAGAAGCTGCTTGTATATTATTTCGTTTTAATTCACTATTATGAAGAATACAATTACAGTTATCGTAATTCTTATTTATAGTAAGTAAATTATACATTTATTATATTTTTAAAAAAGCATTTTGGGTCAGATTTTTAAACGAAATTTGAAATATGAATTTAGAGATGAGACAAATGCTATATTTAATCGTTCCGGGAATTTGAAATTAATAAGTTGATTATATTTTTTATAGTTTTATATAATATTAAAAATTACAGTAAATTATTTAAAATATTAGCTTGAATAAAATTAAGATCACATAATTTAAGTTAAAATTCAAATAACTTCTATTATACTTTTTTTGTGTGTAATTTGTTCTTATTGTGGTACTTCTATATATATTTTTATTTAATTTGTAATAGTTACAATACAATTTAATAAAAGTCTCTAAAGTCAGTTTACCACTGACCCTGAACTTTAACAGATTCCTTTTTATCTTAATCACAGATATACATATATACATTTACATGTACACATCAAGTTTTAAAGCTATATAGTACTGAATCATTAATCAAATATTTTATGCAATTTAGTAAAGTTCAAAATAAAATAAATGTAATATGTATGTTTTCTATACTATGATTACTGTAAGCATAAAATAAGATTAAAATGAAAATTAAAAAAATTTATATTTATTTCTCTTAGGTTTAATAGACCATGGATATACACAAAATACTAAATGTGGGTGAGTTAGTGATATTTCTTTATTTTATTTAGAATATTTTCTTAAAAAGCAAATTAATAATTAATTTTGTAGCAATCAGAAATAATAAATTCATTATCTCTATTTTTTTAATAGCTTAGGGAAATTTCGATGTACGAATGGTCAGTGTATAGAAAGTGATTTATTATGTGATGGACGACCAGATTGTGCAGATAAATCTGATGAAACTCTTATAGAATGTAATAAACCAGATATGATATGTCCTGATATTGCTTTTCGATGTTCATATGGTGCATGTGTAAATGGAGATGCAATTTGTAATGGGATTAAAGATTGTATCGACAACAGTGATGAAACATTACCAAATTGTAACAATTCAACTCAGACATCATGTTCAAAGAATCAATTTAGGTGTAATGATGGACAATGTATTCCAGAACTTAGTCTGTGTGATGGTATTGCTGATTGTGCAGATAGTTCGGATGAAACATTTATTAAATGTGGATCAATTGTGTAAGCATAAAGACTTATAGTTTCCTTATTCATACAGAAATTAAAAATATTTACAAACATACATGAATAACAGATTATGGAGAAACATTAAATGATAATATATTTTCTACCATATATGTATATATATTTTTACAGCTGTCCAGGGCTTTTTTTTCATTGTTTCTATGGTGCATGTATTGATGCTAATTTAAAATGTAACGGAGTTAGAAATTGTGTTGATGGTTCTGATGAAGATCCAGTACTTTGTAAAGCTAATACTACAACAGTGGCACCTCCTATACCAATAAAACCTACTACTGTATCATCTACCACTTGGGCTTTTGCAACGTGTACTGTACCACCACCACCAGCAAATGGTTACAGGAAGTTATACAAACCAGGTTGTTGTAAGTCTGATGGAGGTCAGCAATGTAATTTCTGTGATATTCCTAAAGGTGCTAAGTTAGTACCTGGACAATATTTAGTTTATGGTTGCAACCATGGTTATAAGCTCACTGGTGGGCCTTCTCAGGCATTTTGTACTCAAGATGGTGAATGGTCACAAATTCCAACTTGTACAGGTATAGAATTATTACAATATAAAATACAGAAGTGTAATTATAAAAAAGAAATTGTTAAATAATTTTCCATTTTACAGAAATATACTGTGAACCTTTAGACTCCAGTTCAAGAAGTGCTATGTGCCGATATCATGGTATATATGCATCATGTCAGGCTTCTGTTTTGCCTGGTACAGTTGCAAACTTAAAGTGTCTTCCTAGCTATCGTCAAGATACAACAGTGCTATCAACATCAGACCTGATTATATGTAATGAAAATGGTCAATGGGAACCAAAGCCAATACAGTGCATTCCAGGTCCGCCAACAATAAATATTAATGTTAAAGAAAATTCCGTCCTATTGCAAAGTGATATAAAAAGCAGTAATTCTATATTGATAGAAATTTTAAAAGATAGAATTATTATTTACACACATAAAGAGATGAACAATCCAGATATTGATATTAGAATGAATACAAATTAGAAAAGCACAAATATAAATGATATAATGAAAGTTTAATCTAATATCATTATAGTAAATTTAATCTTAAAATTATAATATTCAAAATTTTATGAATGAAATTCATAAATTGTATATTTCATTTGTACGAACATAATTCAAATTTTTAATTTGCTAATTAGTATGTATTAAGTGAAATCCCTATATTTATTAATTGCTATGTAGTTTTATAAAGTACTGTTTAAGAAATAAATATCAGTTATCTAATCTAAGTTTGTATTGAAGTAATTTCTATTCTAGTAAATGAACATGTTTCATTTAGAATGTAAATTCAATAGAGTTTTAGTTATTATTTACTGATAAAATTATATGGTCATAATTATAATATTAATTTACGAACAACTGTATTTAAATAATAACTTAAATATGTTCTAGAATGTGGTGTACCAGCTGGAAACTATATACCCCTTATTTCAAATGGAATTCGTCCTAACATTTCTGAACTTCCATGGCATGCAACTCTTTACAGAGAAATTCAACCCAATAATACTAAAGAATTTATTTGTGGTGCAACTATTATTCACGAGAAATTTCTAGTTACAGCAGCGCATTGTGTGACAGGTGATACTAACTCTCCACGATATTATGTAGCAACAGGCAATATTTTTAGAGACTACGACTCCATCTTTCATGATCCATCAATAGTAAAGAAGGCTATGGTAAATATTTTATTTCGACAGATTAAAAATAAGATCGTTGATTACATAAGTATAATTCTTATTACAGGTTAAAACTGTATATATTCCGTGCAATTTTATAGGATTTGATGGAAATTATGCTGAAGATATTGCTTTGCTGGAAATTGATCAACCATTTATACTTACAGCAACTTTAGTACCAATATGCTTAGATGTTACTCAAAACGTACTGCAGTTAGAAGTAGGAGATTATGGAAAAGTAGCAGGATTTGGAAGAACATCTACAGGAGAAAATAGTGCTATTCTACAAGCAATTGAAGTTCCATATATTTCTAGATCTAAATGTCAGTCAGCAAGCAAAGAACATCAGACGACAAAGCTTATTACACCTGATAAATTTTGTGCAGGTTACACAAACGGTTAGTAAGAAATCGAATAATTAAGATATTATACAACTAGTAGCTTCATTTCTTTAAAATTATGCATATATTTGTGTAATTTATTTTGTTTCAAAATATTAAAATTATGAAAATTACAGGTACATCAGTTTGTGAAGGTGATAGTGGTGGAGGATTAGTTTTTAAAAGAGATGGAGTGTGGTACTTAGGAGGTATTGTTAGTGTTAGTCTTGGTGTAGTAGCGCAAGGTGGAAATACAATTTGTAACACCAATACATATACGTTATATACGAAAGTTTCTGATCATGTAACACGGATTCGGGACGTTGTTAATAGACGATTAAGTACATCACCATGTTTTTAAACAAAATGTTAATGTCAAAATGTCCATGATAATTTATATAAGTATATCCTGACATATTTACATCGTTAGATGCAAAATGTTTTTGAAACGTGTCGTCCAATTAGGAACAAATTTTGCTAATTGATGAGAGCAAGATGAGTATTGATGTATAAATGCTATATTTTCAAGTTATTGGCATTTAAAGTCTTTCAGTACAGGAAGTGTTTGAATGATATATCAAATATATGAACTTTAAATTTAATCTAGTCAACCATGTTAGCATAAAAAACAGTGAGTAAGAATGAAAGTGATATTATTAAAAATACTGAAGGACTATTAAAACAATTAGGAAATGTATTTTATGACTAACAGTGCGATATTATAATGTTTGTATCTTATTTAGCGAATAATACTCTGAATATTTTGTTTGAAATGTCAGTTTGAATGACTGCAATTTCGAAACAAGGCATCTAGAAGTCAATTTTTTGTACATAATATTTTATTGTTATACTCGTTAGAATATTTTTTTAAGGGTTGGTCATTTTTTATAACTAGGGTAAAGAATTAATAACATGTGAACTACATATAGTTATATGTAGACTGTGGATGTCATTATTTGATTTACGCATTCATGTCTAATGAATTATTAATGCATAAATATCGGCAGTTTATTTGTAAATAATATGTTGAATAATAAATACAAGATATTGAAATATTTGTATATCATATGAATGTAAAACATACTTGTAAATAAACATAAACTTTCTTCGTTCGAAAAAACGAAGAACAGTGCATAACAATAATTTTTTGTGTTTGATATAATCCACCTTATTTTAGAAGTAAATTATAGTGTAATTAGAAATATATTATTTGAATTAATAAAAAAATATCAAAGAAGTAAAACTAGTGGATATTTTATGTATTTATGTGTTTCTTATGAATTAATTAAGATCTTAAAAATAGTTATCTTTAGATCATCTTAGAGTTGAAAAAAGAAAATTTGAGCGTAATAAAAGTTGTAAAAATTATTATCAGAAGGAAAAATAATGATCACAAATTTCTTCAAAACTTGTGTCATTTTAAGAATTGCAGCCAATTCAATATTAATTTTGTGACAAGTTATAAAAGAATGTGATACAAACAGTAAAGTAAGAAAAGTATAATGTATACTCAATAAATCAGAGCATAATGAATAAACAGAATTTAAAACGGAAATCGTCATTGACATTACAATATATAAAGGACAAAAAAAGAACTTTGAATTTGAACACATGGAGAAGAAAGTGGTAATGTGTCATATATGAAGAAATTAATGAATATAATGTCTGTATTGCTGGTAAAAAATCAATTTTTTAAATGAAAAAAAGTGAAATTTTTTATTATAGTATATATTTTTATAAACAAAATATTTAATAGGTACAACTTTGATAACTAACAATTTTAATGAGAAATGTTTTAAAAAATTTGCATTCAGGCATTGATTTTTCTGTAGATAAACATGTTGATAACGAATAAAGAATATTTCTTTCTTTTTTAAATGTAATTATATGCTTCCTTGCTACATTAACTGACTTAACTTGAGAGCTCCTATAAAACGTATTAACCTATTCATATAAAGAAACTACTAGTTTAGTAGATATTTGATATAATACTTTTATTTTAAAGAATAAAAATTTGGAATAAAATTATTAAATTACTACATGTATATGTTTCGAATATAATTATAATAAAGAATCACTTCATTTTTTCTTATCATTTACATATAATTCTTTAAATTTTTAAATTATTTTCCATTTTTTAAACGGAAGCTAAATTGTTTTATAATGAAAGTTCTAAATAATAATCATTGTCATCAAAATTTATTAAGAAATTCTATTAATTAATGTATCAAAAATTGATTAACTTGTTTAAACCAGTTATAACATTGTTTCAGTATGGCGGATGGTACGAGGTCTAAAGATACTATTTCTAAATTTTTATAATTTTAATATACGTAAAATCATGCAATATAATAATCTTTGTTTCATGTTATTGACAAAATTTTTAAACAATTGAATATTAATTTTCAATACCCAATAATAATTAAATAATTTTTTAACTACAAACACTACTTTGAATATAAAATGATTTATGAAATACTAAGTACATAATATTTGTTAACCGAAAATATGAACAATTAAGTTTAAGACATATCGCTGAATAACGAAAAAACTGATGTTGGGTTTTATTATAAATCATATTATAACACAGAAACATGTCCGTGAGTTACGCTGAGATGTTGTACGCATACTCGAAAACAAGGCAGAAAAATATTATATGTGTAGTGTAGTCTTACAGTGATAGTACAGTAAAATCCTTATTAAGGAATCCTTTTTAAGGGATACGTAAAGACTAATTACGTCATCATTGAGAGTGCTGCAGCTGCTTTTTCTTTGATTACTCTGTAAAAATTTACCGCGCATGTCTAACACGTCACTCAATAAGTCTCCGGTCTAACTAAGGAAAACAAATTTTTTTTTAGAAATTCCACTTTAATCATCAATATACATTCCTTCCAATGTGATATATTGATTCCAACGCACCTCTAACTTTTCAATTCCCTTTATATTAAACGATTTGTCTTTGCTCCCAAAATAAGCTTCAGTTTTCGCAATCACTTCTTCATTTGAGTCAAATTTCTTTCCCTGGAGCATTTTTTTCATATCTGCAAAGTGCCAGTAGTCGCTGGGGTCCAAATCTGGGGAGTACGGTGTGTGGGGAAACAATTCAAAACGTAATTCATTCAATTGAACCATCGTGTTCATCGACTTGTGACACGGCGCATTGCCTTCGTGAAACAGCAAACGCGGCCCCCACTTTGAAAGCAATTTGCACATGCCCAAATTTCCATGCAAAATTGTGAAGACACTACCTTCTGATATCTTCAAGGCATTAGCTATCTCACACAATTTAAGTTTACGGCCCTTTAAAACTATTTTGTGGACATTTCTTATGTTTTCCGGAACGACTGCTGATTTTGGGCAACCAGAGCGTTCAGCATCATCGGCGCTTGTATGACCGCGTTTAAATTGAGCATACCAGTCAATGATAGTTGATTTCCTTGGTGCAGAGTCCCTTTTTGGCTTCAACAGTATTTTTTCCGATTAAAAAACAGTGTTTAATCAACACACGAAATTCCTTTCTATCCATTGTCTTCAAAATTACGAAACTGGGGGTACTAAAATGACTGTAACTTCTAAACTATTGGTCAGAATACCCTGAAGGTTAGTATTATTCGAAAATAACGTGGGTCTGTCACCAGTATCGCTATATATGTGTCAGACCGGGGACTTATTGAGTGACGTGTTATCTTTTACGGTTTAGGACTGCGCAGGGGGTCAAGGTTTTCATGAGATAATCGCGGATCCTGTGTAACGAATTTTCGAAAAATCAAAATTGCTCCAATTTAAAAATTAATTACGTCATCATTAAGAGTGGTCAATTTCACTTTTTGGGATTAAGCCTCTTTGTAAAAAATTTACTGTGCATGTCTGTCTTTTACGGTTTAGGACTGCGCAGGGGGTCAAGGTTAACTGATTAATTCTCCGTGCATAGCACGGGACGTTCGACTAGTATAGTATAACAGAAAACTGTTTGACTATTATGAACAGTATATAAAAATATGTAACTGTATAATATACGATATAAAAAAGGAAAGTTGTCAGGATCCATTACGTAGCGCCTCAATAATGAAAAATATGTGACTGTATGTGTGGGTAAGGATGAGTAAAAACTTAACTAAATTACTGGCGTCTAAAGTCTTTATTGAAAGCGAAGTGATCGATGCGAAAGTTCAGAGTCTAATGTGTGCACTAGGGTGGCCCTTATTTTTCGACTTCTGATTTTTTTTGGTCTCATCCCCTAAAATTTTGACACTTGATGAAAAAATGATAATGTCAAAGTTTCAGCATGATTGGATAACAGGAACCCGTGCCGCAATCGAGTTGAAGTTTTGAAATTTGCACGATTTCAGGTTATCGTCGAATATGTTAGTGGCCTTTTATGTTACAAGTATCAGTGAATATTTTATAATGAAAATATAATTTTTTACACGAGTAATACCAGCATTTATATACAATTACAACACATACATATTTACATATTTACTTGCAACTGGGAGCTGTATATAATTTGTATAAAAGTTGATAAATTTTCCAATAATCTCGATTGTATTAGCACTTATAAATGAATTTTTTTTTAATACTTATAAGCAAAATATTCTTTAATAGAATTTCAGTTATGTCTTATAAATTAACCTATTGTTAAATTGTACGTAGCGTTTAATATATATTCTGTGTTAATATAGATTTGCTTACATTAGAATAAAAGCTTTTCTAATTCTCAATTACTTGTAAAATGTATTGTTTATCTTCTTCATTTTTGGTCAACCAATTATTATATTCAGATATAAGTTTAACACCACGTTCAGCGATATCGTTTACCACTTTTAAATTTCTTACAATTTCCAAACCTTTTTGATATAAAATATCATTTTTCCACAAGGAAGGGTCTTTTTCTAAGAAATCTGTAGGTATATTGTACCTGTTAAGCCATTTTTTGGATTCAGTAGAAATGAAGCTATCAATATTCATATTTACATAATTTTGTACATTTTCCGGAAGTATTACAAGTTTCTTTACTGAATGTTCCGTATTATCATTTTTTAAAGCCTTAATCATTTTCCTTTTTGTGTTCAATGGTATTATTTCATCGAAAAAGGATATTATCGAATTAGTATTTTATAAATCATTTTATATTCAAAGTAGTGTTTGTAGTTAAAAAATGGTGCAAAGGAATGTATATACTCAAAAAAACAAAATTTTTAGATACAATAAGAAGGAAAAAGATAAGAATTGATTCAAGTAATCGGTTATAAATTATAAATATAATTGTATGATCTTTACTTGATACTGATAGTTGAAGTGAGTTCTCTTTGATTACTAAGTAAGTAAATAACGATTTTACTTGATTGCGGCACGGGTTCCTGTTATCCAATCATGCTGAAACTTTGACATTATCATTTTTTCATCAAATGTCAAAATTTTAGGAGGTGAGACGATGAAAAAATCGAAAAAAAAAATATCTAGCTCTATAGCTAAGGGCCACCCTAGTGTGGACAACACATTTTTTTAAATGCTAATGATGCACCTTGGTGCATATATGTGTCGCTATAAAAAAAAATTTGGCAATGCAGTGGAATTTCCCAATGCTTACACACTTCTCTCTTGCACGGTCGAAAACCGCCAAGTCTGGTATTGTGGTTCCTTCGGAAATCCCCCGTTTACGATGCCGTACATAATTATTGAAACCGCTGTTGCTAAACTTTAAAATATACCACAACTATGCAGGCCGTTTGAACTCCTAAATATTTGTTCGAATTCATGCAGCTAATCATCACAATAACTAAAATAATTAACAATTAAATGAAGTTAAGATATTTGTGAATATATAATTTTTTCTTAAATTTTGAAACAAATTTGAGTTTAAATTAAGATAATAATTATGTCATGTGTGTAGTAATTCAAGTATGTAAAAGTTCCCATTTGATATAAGTAATCTAATACTGTAAGTCATGTATTATAATATGCAGTTTGTAATCTACTTATGTGCATGATAGCCTGTTATAGCCGTCGGTAATTGCTAAATTAATGCGGCTTTAAGGAAATAGAAGCGAAAAAAATCTTTATCTATTATATCGCGTAAACTTTCCTGGTAAGCAAATACATGTAACGAATGTAAACCATTCATGACTCAGTGCTGCTTGACTGGGTATAATATATAATTGCACAGTACCACAAGATCAGTTAGTGGTGTGTCATTTGAAGAAACTGACATTTTAGTTCATCGATTTATTTCATTATTATGAAGAACGTAATTACAGCTATTGTAATAATTACATTCAGTAAGTAAATATACTTTATTAGATATTTTTGAACTACCTTGCGTTATGTTTTAAAATGAACTTAAAAATAAAAATTACCTTGAAAGATATTATAGAATATCTGTAAAAATGTTATTTTTTGATGAACTTTAGCGCGTAAATAAAAATACAAACAAATTTAGTTCTCGATATAATTTCGATCTTTTTCAATGATCGAAAAAAAGTACTACTCCATTTTTTAGTAGTTTTTGGCTCTTAGATTAAGAATGCTAAGAGCGTTATTATTTTTATAGATTAAAATTTTCGCTATGAAAATGTTAAAAACTGATATTCACAGTTTCGTGTTTTATCAGGTCTGTGGAATTTTTCGTTGAATTTATCTACAGAACCGAACACGAGTATCAATTCTCGAATATCCGAACTTTGAATTTAATTACTCCAATTCGTATTTAAGGTTTTTTCGTAATTACATTGTATAATAATTGATTTATTTGAATTACGAAGCTGTAAGGGGTACTTATCTGTTCAGCAGCCTATTGGACACGTAGTACATGAATTTCGTTTGATCCATATTGATGTTACTTTGAACTAATCGTAAAGGCTCACTGTAAATTATAAAATATTAAAATATTAAAGTGGTAGTATAGTTGTAGAGCAAGAATAAGTTTCGAATGCTGAGAAGAATGGTAAGTGAAAAAAAAGAGACGCTGCGATGAAGCCAGTCGGCAAAAATCAAAAGCCTGTGGTATTGTTTACAATGCCAATACGTTGGCATTTTTTATTTTTAATCCTATTTCTATACAATTTTTTCCAGAATAGTCATGGCATTTTCCTGATTAAAATAAGACCAAATATAGTGTAAAATAAAACATATTTACTTGTGTCTTATCTGAACTGAGCTCAGGTGTTAAGTTTATCCTGTAAAGAGCGGTTTTTACTTATTGAATGACTCTTTTGTATATAAATAGTATGTCTAAAGGAATGTGGGATTTGTGTGTTGTGCGGTTAAGGAATGAAACCAAAGCAATACAATATCTTTCGATTATTAGATTTATTCAATCAATTAACGAAGAGTTAGTATTACAACTAACAATTATTTTGGAAAATATGAAAAGTATATATTTATTTTGTACCAAATAATATAATTTCCATTTTAATATGGATCTAAGAGTTTTTTCGTGTTCTTTCTAGAAGAAATTGTTTTTAATTATCTTTCTATACTTTTCCTAAAAGATCTTACTCGCACTATTTCGAAAATTGTTCTGCGCCCTACGTGTATTCCGCAAGCACTTTTATACCGCGAAAATCCATGACTTGCCTTTCACCTACCTACGCGAGCTACCTCTATGCTAAACGTATACATTTTTGCATATAATCTTGAATTCTTTAATTAGGTATTAATTAATAAAGTAAATACATTAATCAAATCATTAATAATATACTTTGATTAATATTTAATGATTTTAATATTAAAATGGCAATTTAACAATAATTTAATTCGATATATATTTTCTGCCCTTTTCTAGCGATTGTGCACCCTCAAATTATTGTTTAATTCGACAATCGGTAATTTAGCGAAAAAAGCAGAAAATTGATAATATTGCAATTATTCCGCGATTAATCCTTTAGGATGTTACACTTGTAATAATTTATTAAAGTCTTATTTTAGTCACGAAAACGTCACAAATATGTTGGTGAGTTTCATAAAAAAAAAAAAATAAAAAAAAAAAGAGCATAGTATTATTCTTGCGTGGGGATTGCACTGTTACTATTTGTTTATGTTTGCTCATTCCAATGTTTCCTTCGGTCACTGCTCTTTTTACGTTTGGCAAACCTCAATATAGGAACTACACGATAATAGGAAAAGTTCAGATCCGAGAGATTCGCTTATATCGAAATCTTATTGTATTAGGTCGAGTCATAAGTAACTTCCGATTTTTTATCAGACATTTATTTCGTTCTCATTAAACAACAAAATTATATTATATTATTATATATTCACCACTATTTTCTATAACCTTCTCCCATGTTCCTGGTAGTTTATCAATTCCTTCCTTGTAAAATGTGGTTGGTTTGGACTGGAAGAAGCTTTCAACAGCCTGCCTGACTTGCTCTTCAGAATTGAAGGTTTTTCCATTTAAAAAGTTTTGTAAGGAACAGAAAAGGTGGTAGTCTGTCGGGGCAAGATCTGAGGAGTAAGGTGGATGTGGTAAAACAGACCATCCAAGCTCAAGAATTTTTTCTTGAGTCACTCTTGCTGTATGCGGTCGCGCATCGTCGTGTAAAAGAATGACATTTCTGCGATTGACGAGTGCAGGGCGCTTTTCTAGGAGTTTCTCTTGCACTCTTTGCAATTGCTGAATGTATTTATCCGCAGTAATCGTTAAATTTGACTTCAACAACTCGTGGTGACTTATACCTTCATAATCTCACCATACACACAATAAAATCTATTTAGCTGCATCGGAAGTTACTTATGACTCGACCTAATAGTATGATAATGAAATAGTACGATGGTGCAACTAGTATGATTATGAAATACGATTATAAAGTTGTACAATAATAAAAAAGTAGAAATAATGATGCATTAGTATAACAAACCACTAGGACAATAGAATAATATAATGAACATAATAGTTGTATAGTAGTAACAGTGTAATAATTTTAGTGTAATAGTGAAATGGTAGAATAATGGGAGAGTGAGAAAGCCGAAGATTGAAACAGTGAAATGTTAAAACAACGAAATGGCAAAATGACGGAAATGTTAAAATAGCAAAACAATATTATAGTAAAGAGTGGAACAATAGTATGGCATATTTAAGAAAATAAGTATCGAAAATAGAGGGTGGTTGGCTATAGTACCCTGTTACGGGATTTTGCATTTATAGTATGTATAAATACGAGGGTTGTCCGTAAAATAAGGTTCCCAATGATTTTTCACCATGAAAAACATGTTTATTGGCATTGATATATTTTTGGAAAGCTTAGACTTTCCCCTATTTTTCGGCGTAATCGCCGTTTAAAACATGTTTATTGGCATTGAGTAATATGTTTTTGGAAAGCTTAGACTTAACCCTATTTTTCGACGCAATCGCCGTTCAGATCAATGCATTTTTGCATGAGGTGCACCATCTTTTTTATGCCCGCGTCATAGAACTCTCCCGCCACGCCGCGAAGGTAGCTTAGAACCGATGGCCGTCCGGAACGCTGTTTGTCATGGACGTCTGTACGTCCGTCTTTGAATTCCCTGCACCATTTTCGCACGTGTTTTACGCTCATACACTTTTCTCCGTAAACTTCACATAATTGGCGATGAATGTCCACCGCTACAATGTTCTTTGCACACAAAAAACGAATCACAGAGTGTAATTCGCACCTAGCGGGAGAAGCGAGTGGGAGCTCCATTTCTAGCGATTATCATGCAAAAATGGAGAATCGCAGACAGCTCGTCGTGGCGGGGTCTGAAAGAGGGAGGACCAAGCTACACGTCAGTGTCGCCGGATCCCGCGTAACACCGTTCCTTGCAACTGCAGCTTTTTGGGAACCTTATTTTACGGACAACCCTCGTATAATTGGAATAAAAACCTATTTTTCAGCTAGAAATGATGCTTTTATTAAATGAAAACTATTTTCCTCTGTCAATAATCTAAAATTGTAACTCGACACTTTTTGACTTTCGATTTAAAAATATATCTATATTAAATTACAAAAAATACGAAATGTAATTATTCGTTCGATTCGCTATTTATTACATTGTACAAAGAAATACCATTATATTTAAATTTAGAGAAGGTCATTTTTGGTGGTCAATTTTTTAATTTACTTTTCTTCTTCGTCATAAATATTGTGCTGTATTTATGCAAATAATAGAAATAAAATAATTGTACGTGAACTTGCAGTTTGTTAGTATTAATTTATGAACAAATACATAATTAAAATTATATTACAAATAATGTTACAATGTTATTACCAGTAACTTCTGAAATGTTAGTATAACTATGGTAATTTAATAATAGAGTTTATTTAATGCAATATGGTTTATTTGATGATGAGGTCTAATGTTTTATTATTTATATGTGCGTTAATAAAACATTAATTTTTTAGTATTTTTACATACTCTAATAAAGAATTGAGTTTTTATTATCTTTACACATCTTAATAAAGTAAATTGTTGATTAGGATCGAGATGTTCAAATAATTTCAGTCGACATTTTTAATATATATATTTTTGTTACTAATACTTATGTGAGTTAAATTGTATAATGACATTTGTTAAAAATGTTTTAAGCTATTTAAGTGTACGGCATGAATTACTATTTAAGCCACATCGAGTTAATGTTCTTTTCGATCAGCATAAACCATATAAATCTAGTCTACACTTCTACATTTAGCATCATTCTTAACCGTATGTTGAGTCCCTGCATTGCCAATGCATCAGAACTGAACATTCATCACATCAACATGTAATATACTTACACTATTTTCGTGACAAGGACAACTGTAAAAGATAGAACTTGTAAAACACCACTGTTTTTCTTAGACGCATACAGTAGCTTTTTACCTAACATATAAATCAGAAACTTCCTTGTAACCGATTCCACTGTATACAATACAATCTAGCTATTTTGGTTGCATTAAAGATTTAAGGTAAGAAAAGTTGCAGAACTTAACCATTATTCACGTTGTTCAAAGTCTGGCACGTAACAGTAAAATTAAACAAAATTACATTACATTTTTAATATTGCATTCTTATTTGTGCATTAAAAGAAATTTTTTATTTCAGGTACTTCAGTACTTAGCAGTGGTGGCAGATATAGGGGTTGGTAAATGACTCTACCATTTTGTAATATTTTTTAATAAAAAGGTACATTAAGATGAATTTTTTATTTCAGGTACACCATACTTTGACAACAATGACAGAGATCCGGGTTAGTAAATAAATTTTCTATTTTGTAACATTTTTAAATAAAAATATTCTTGATAACAAATTGAGAAAAACAATCAAAATGTAAATAATTTTTTTTCGGCTCGATATATATATGCTTTAAAAAATTTTCTTTTAATTATTTGTTATGTTATCACTAATGTTTTAATTGGCCGTGGAAAATATAAATCAATTTAACAATTTATTACATAAATTAAAAAAAATGTTTCCTATACAGGCACTCAACAGATAAAACAAAAAAGTGAATTTGCAATTTTGTTAAGTGTTTCTTTTCAAGGTATAATATTTTTCACCTTGTCCTTGAACATTGATAGAAATTGATGTGCAAATATAGATTAATACAGACATTGATAGTTGAATACAAATAAAAAATAAGAATATACATAATATGGAATAATTAAAATTGCGAATTTCACCTTAAAAATATAAAATACAAAGTTTTCATCTACTCGATAAATACCTACTTTATGAATTTTGAAAACAGTATCTTCTAGGAAACGGGTATTTATCGGGCAGTCAATTACATAACCGTTCTTCCTGATGCTATGCTCGCTTTCTCAATGCAGTGAAGTACAATTACAGGCAAATCTAGCTCCTAAAGACAAAGTGGTTACTCACTTATTGATGTTTAACAAATTTTCAAGTCTGGAAACTTTAAAATTTGGGGATATGAAGTTTTGAAAATCTGGGAATTAGTGTTTTAGAATTTTAGAAATGTGGAAAGTTTAGAAATGTAATGATTTAAAAATTTAGCAAACTGTGAATTTAAAAAGTTGGAAATTTATAATTCCAATATTTGGAAATTGAGGAATTTGAAAGTTCAAAATTTTGGGGATTTGGAACTTTGCTGTTAAATGAAACTTCCATTTTACTACTGATCAAGACAAATATTAATAGATCTACGATAGTAGAAATTGTAAAAGAAAACATTGTAATTTGTGAATATCAACAGACATTAAGCCTTAATTAATTATTAATTATAATATTTAATTCTTAATTCATGCTTAATATTTAATATTTAATAATTAATTAATTTAATTTAAATGAACGTAGGAAGCAAACATAGGAATATTATCACTAAATAGTAAATATTGTGAACATGATCATGAAAATGTAAAATAATCAATTCATTTACAATATATTAATTTATGTTGCTATATTTAACAATATATGTAATTGTATTAAAGAAATAATTTCAATATGTTTTAGGATGTGGTGCATCACCTCCGATGCAAATATTATCACGCATTGTAAATGGAGATCAACCTAACACTAATGAATTTCCATGGCACGCTTCTCTCTACAAACAAAATACACTTAATGGAACCAAAGAATTTCGCTGTGGTGCAACTATTATTCATAAAAAATTTTTAGTTACAGCAGCACATTGTGTGGCGGGTGATAATAATTCGTCAAAATATTATGTAGCAACAGGCAATATTTTTAGAGATTATGACTTAAGCTTACATGACCCAACAATAGTGAAAAAGGCTGAGGTACATACATTTTCATTTGATTAATTGCAGATAAGGCTGGTGATTGTATCAGTATGATTCTTACTGCAGGTTAAGAACATATATATCGCATGTAACTATACAGGATATGAAGGAAATTTCTTTAGAGACATAGCTGTATTAGAGATTATGGAACCATTTGTATTTTCAAATACATTGGTACCAATATGTTTAGACGTTACTACACACATGCTGCAGTTAAAGGTGGGAGATTATGGAAAAGTAGCAGGTTTTGGAAGAACATCTACAGAAACACGTAGTTCTACTTTACAATCAATTCAAGTTCCATACCGTCCAATATCTGATTGTAGATCAGAAGGTATTAAGTATCAGACTACAAGGTTTATTACGTCTGATAAATTTTGTGCAGGTTACACAAATGGTTAGTAAGGAATCGAATAATTAAAATATTATACAACCAGTGGCTTCATTTCTTTAAAATTATGCATATATTTTTGTAATTTATTTTGTTTCAAAATATTAAAAGTATGAAAATTACAGGAACATCAATTTGTGACGGTGATAGTGGTGGTGGATTAGTTTTTAAAAGAAATGGAGTATGGTACTTGGGAGGAATTGTTAGTGTCAGCCTTCATGCAACTTTGCAGAATGGAGTTATAGTTTGTGACAGTAACACGTTATCCCTATATACAAACGTTTCTCAATACATGTCATGGATTCAGGATATTATACATAAGACAGAAACACATAAACCAATTCCAACATGTTAAAGAAGAGGAAATGTCAAAACTATCCATGACTATTTATACAAATGCTATCAAGCTGAACTAAAACATATTTAGGCTGTTTTTGAATCATGTTATCAAAGATGTTCTATTGTTATGATTCATGATAATATGTAAACAATACTGTATTTAAATGATATCAGTAATAAAAGGTGAAAGGTACCAAAACTTGTGTATATTATATAAATACAATGCGATACATTTTTTAATAACTTTTAAGTCTACATATTTTTAAAACTTGTATAAATAAATAATGAACTTTTAGATTCATAAATCATACTTACATAAAATTCTTAATGATTAACCTTTGGTTTTGTCTTTCTTCAAAATTATTTTTGTTCATGTTTCAACCATGTTAAAATAATTGTATGCATGGTAATAAGAACTTTGGTTTATTGTTAGTATTATTATGGATTGCTAGTTGCTGCTGTTATAATAAGGAGCTTAGATAAAGTGAATTATCAATTCACAATGTAACACATGTTTATGATTTGTATGCACATATAAATGATACATAATTGCAACTAAAACATAAAAGAATAATTTTATATTCTAACTCAGAACATTAGAATGAAAGAAGCTCAGTATTGTGATAATATATTTTGTTCATCATGTTTTAAAGAAAACAAATAATATAAAAATTATTTGAAATAATTGGTACAAATATTATTTAACATTTTAGATTATTATGTTTTGGATACATTAGAAACATGTTAGCAACTCATGAGCATACTTTGATGAATGTAACATTGAAGAAATGACTTATGAAAATGAATTCTCTTATATCATATTTTTAAACTATAAGTGTTTTAAATTCTACCCATACCGTCCAATATCTGATTGTAGATCAGAAGGTATTAAGTATCAGACTACAAGGTTTATTACGTCTGATAAATTTTGTGCAGGTTACACAAATGGTTAGTAAGGAATCGAATAATTAAAATATTATACAACCAGTGGCTTCATTTCTTTAAAATTATGCATATATTTTTGTAATTTATTTTGTTTCAAAATATTAAAAGTATGAAAATTACAGGAACATCAATTTGTGACGGTGATAGTGGTGGTGGATTAGTTTTTAAAAGAAATGGAGTATGGTACTTGGGAGGAATTGTTAGTGTCAGCCTTCATGCAACTTTGCAGAATGGAGTTATAGTTTGTGACAGTAACACGTTATCCCTATATACAAACGTTTCTCAATACATGTCATGGATTCAGGATATTATACATAAGACAGAAACACATAAACCAATTCCAACATGTTAAAGAAGAGGAAATGTCAAAACTATCCATGACTATTTATACAAATGCTATCAAGCTGAACTAAAACATATTTAGGCTGTTTTTGAATCATGTTATCAAAGATGTTCTATTGTTATGATTCATGATAATATGTAAACAATACTGTATTTAAATGATATCAGTAATAAAAGGTGAAAGGTACCAAAACTTGTGTATATTATATAAATACAATGCGATACATTTTTTAATAACTTTTAAGTCTACATATTTTTAAAACTTGTATAAATAAATAATGAACTTTTAGATTCATAAATCATACTTACATAAAATTCTTAATGATTAACCTTTGGTTTTGTCTTTCTTCAAAATTATTTTTGTTCATGTTTCAACCATGTTAAAATAATTGTATGCATGGTAATAAGAACTTTGGTTTATTGTTAGTATTATTATGGATTGCTAGTTGCTGCTGTTATAATAAGGAGCTTAGATAAAGTGAATTATCAATTCACAATGTAACACATGTTTATGATTTGTATGCACATATAAATGATACATAATTGCAACTAAAACATAAAAGAATAATTTTATATTCTAACTCAGAACATTAGAATGAAAGAAGCTCAGTATTGTGATAATATATTTTGTTCATCATGTTTTAAAGAAAACAAATAATATAAAAATTATTTGAAATAATTGGTACAAATATTATTTAACATTTTAGATTATTATGTTTTGGATACATTAGAAACATGTTAGCAACTCATGAGCATACTTTGATGAATGTAACATTGAAGAAATGACTTATGAAAATGAATTCTCTTATATCATATTTTTAAACTATAAGTGTTTTAAATTCTACAGCAGGGGTGGCCAAGCTCCTTGATAGTCCAAGCCATTTTTCAAAATTTGAAATGTTTCGCGAGCCGCAATTTTCGATGGCGCAGTTTTCGATGAGTCATATCATTCTTAACTTGGACGGAAATGAAATTTGTTACAACGTTGCACTTAGTATTTCATATTTGTCGTTAGTAATTTCAAAGACATTTTGTACCACATACGGAATGATAATAATTTTTTAAAATATAATAGCACAAAAATGAAAAGGGAACTTGGGTACATTTATCGAGAGCCACAAATAATCCTTCAAAGAGCCGCATGTGGCTCGCGAGCCGCAGGTTGGCCACCCATGTTCTACAGTAAAAGAAATGTTTAAATAGCATACTACGAATGTAAATGTATGTGTATTAAAAATACTTAAGAAATATTGAAGAAATCTATTAAAAGAAATATATTTGATAATTTACAACAAAATACTATGAAGTTTGCATCACACTCAATAAAGCATATTTTAAATACTTTATTTGATATATTACATACCTTAAATGGCTATAAACATTTATAAAATAATGTGAAAACTCTTTCCTATTTTTACTACTGTTAGAATATGCTTTTAACATTTAATGACTGTTTATAATTGAACTAAAGCAAGAATAACATATTGCTAGTTAGGAATACCTTTACATAATTATATGCTATGTCATTAATTGTAACAATTTATTGAAGCATACCAATATCACACAACAAATATTAGACGATCTCAAAACTGTTTGAAATTAATGCAATTAACATTTAAAATTATTAAATTCTATGGTATAATTATTATAATTTATTACTATCTGTTTAACTGAAAATAAAGAAGAAGAAAGACAAAAATTTTATACAATTTCACACTTACAGCAAATTCATAAATGATGCAATGTTATAATAGATACTTAAAGCAAATATTAAATATTCAAAGTTTATGTTATATATATAGCAAAATATTAGAAAACCCTATCAATATTCCCCCAGATTAGGTACTTATATTATATATGTATATTTGTACTTGGTTTTCTTTCATTCTTGCAAATTAATTTACAACTGTTATACAAAAAGCGATAAAAAATAAAAATATTTCCAAATTAAATTAGAATTGTCTGATTGATATTTGGATTTGTATCAGGTTACCTTACTTACTCATCGAGCTTCCAGTGTTCAGATTTCCCCGCGAAAGAGTCGTCAAAACTCTTGAGGTGGCCATATTTTACTCCCATTTTATGACAGATTGTTCTTCATACTTTATGCAAGTACATTATTCAAACTTTGTACTGCTGCTCACAATGAGAAAAAACGTAATACATACTTCAAACAAAAGTCTGCGTGTAGCTCAATTGTTAATGCATAGTAAAAATTTTTTCTTAAATATTCGTAAAGTATTCTAGTATATTCTAGTATAGTACTTCAAAAGAATAATTTCTAAATAATCTAACCTTACATAACTTGATAAAATATGACATAAAAATTGTTACTTATCTTTGGAGCATGAACTTTTTTATGCAAGGATTATTGATTAAATCCGCCTGTGCAGGATTTTCTCTGTCACTTTTGACTCCATTACATAATGGTGGATTCAGAATGGCGAAACGTGAACAATATCTTGTATATTCGTGAAAATCATGAATTTCTAAGGTTATTAATTATGAATGTACTCATATTTTCTCGGGTTTGAGCTATTTTTCAGTGTTACAATTCATTATGAATTAAAATACGAACGTTTTACTCAAAAGATTACGTTTATTTCCACTGTACGGTGGTTCAACATCCCACTATGTTGTTTCGTCAATTTATTCTCTATTTTCGATAAAACTTCATTCCAAGCAGTATTTATAGAATAAGGAAAGGAATTAAGTTATTAAATCGCGAAAAAAGAAATAAACTGATGAATAATCGATTTCCAACCGCATCGCCATTTCTTATTTTATTTTGTTTGTGCGATGAGACTCATATGAACTATTACAATATTTAAAGCATTTTAATTAATCACAACCACATTATAACAATTTTTTATCAGTAGAAAATGTAATTCTTCATCGTTCTACTATACTTCTTTCATGTAATTTATGATAGGAGTATTTGTTCTGTATTCGACGTATACACGTCGTTGATTGACTTTAATAATTTTCACAAATTCATTTTTTTAATTAAATTTTACAGTTAACTAGTTTAAACAATTTACGTATCAGTAACATAGAAATAAATATATTTTTTATCTGTTAAATTAGAAAAATCTAATTCACCAAAAAACGTTGAAAAAATAACGTTAGCCATGAAGAAAACGAGATCATCTTTTGTCAATTTTGATGCGCTAATTTTAAATCTGATCGTAAACAAATTTTTGAAATGTTTTAATCTAAAAGAAAAAATTAAATTTTTTTACATCTTTAACGACTTATGAAATATTTAATTACTCTTTTTTAACATTCAAACTATTAGTAAAGTGTTGATTTTCGACACGATACAAGTACTTCGGATTTAACACTGCTTTATTTTTCTTTAGAATCCTATTCTGATACGTTTACTTACAATTTTTCGAATTGATTTTGGTTTCATATGACAAAACTGAGAAACTACACGCAAGGATTAGATATCCTTGTTTTTCCTTGCATTACCTTTATACAAAAGAAACGAGAGCAGTAGTAATTTCGTTGTTGCAAGATTTTGAAACGAATATTTTCTTGATATTAAAGTGGAAAGCATCACTACATTTTCATACATACTGATAAAGTGGAAACCGGTCAAAAATTAATTATAAAATATCACTGTATACGTGAAAATAGTGCTCGATTTATTGACTGCTTGTAGCTACATTGTGGCAGGTGATTTCTGTGTTCATAAAATATATGTATTAATCCGGATATACAAAGTTTTGCCGAATAATATGTAAACGCAGACATCACAAAGATCGATACACAAAAAACATAAAATAGAATTTTTTGAATTTGGGTGTAGTTTTCGAGAAAATATTGCTTGAAAATTCACTGCGTTTCAGTGCTATTATAACCATGTTATTGTCTGTCCAGTAACATAAACGTGTTTTACGTTCCACCACATTTTAGGTGAAATGTGAGATTTTTAAACGATATTTAAACGATTTTATGATTATTGACTAGGACGAGAGGAAATGTTCGCCTGACCTCCAAGGTCCACATATCTTACACCCATGGACTTGTATTTACGGGAATACATTAAAGAAAAAGAATACAGTAATAATATCGAAAGTGAGGAACAATTAGTGTATGCAATTAATTACATATTTCAAACATTAAAACATGTTACGGAGGATACGTGCTTCGATAATGAGATGGGTATAGTTATACATCCTACTACGGAGACAACAATTTCAGCAATTTTGCAACAGATAAAAGAAAACTTTTTACATTGAAACTTTTATTCCTATTTTATTTTCAAGCTAATAGCGTTCACGTACTATAGACATTGTTTACAAGCATAATACGCATTTACGTTGCTCGACAGAAGATACCGCTGCTGTAACGAGTACAAGTAATAAAGAGTTAATGTCTACATTAATTTGTAAACGGCCAAAGCAAATAAAATATAATATATGTTGTAAAAAGAATATTTGTAAATTTTGTTATTGTAGACGGTTGGACTGGCAGTTACTTAGGGCCTAAGTGGTGGGCCTGTCCCTGACTGTATGGGGGTGACGGACAGGCCACTTTGACCGGGGTCACGTGGCCCTTTGGTGAAAGAGCTTTCCTTATTCCGCGCCGGTTGAGGGAAAGTCAGTCTATCACCGTTCTTCGTTAGAGAGATCACTTTTAAAATATAGATACCATCCTGATTCTTAAAGACTTACAAGGAAAAGCACGCAAGTGTCCCCCTCCGATTTTGATGAAACTTCGTAGGTTTGTTAAGCAGGCAAAAATAAGGG